AAAAAAGCTTATAACCTTATTGTTTTGTAGACTTAACGTTGATTAAAAGAGGTAGAAAATAGATAATAACACTATTACTTTTAAGATTTAAACAGACAAGGCTGTTAAAATAACTCATTTAATATCTATGTTCCGTGCATCGCACGGAGTATGTACTAGTTATAATGAAACATGAATGATACAGTTATAGCAACAATTTAATTGACATTTATAATCACTTTATAAATATTTTTATTATAATGAAACATTAATGATTCAATTCCAGCACTTATGGCAAATATCACATGAAATATGTCTAATAAAAATAATAGATGAATAATTAAATTTAAAAAAATATATATTTTTTAAGTGATGCTTATTTAAACGAATCGAGTAATTAATGATACTGAATACACACACACACATCCACGATTACAGGCTATTCAATTACAGAGCATTCAATAATGTGCACAGGCACGAATATAAATAGAATTTAATATATCATATGTTTTTATTTAATATTTAAAAACATAAGAATGAACATATCATATTTATAAATTTTATCACCATTGAAAATGAATAATATAAATATAAACTGTTTAACATACATATTAATCTGTATATTGATTATAATAATATAAATTTTCAATATTGATTGATTATGACCAATTAATTAGATAAGATAGTATTAAAATTAATATTATTGTATACAGAATTTTGATGGTCTTAGTTAGAAATTAAAAATATTTAACAAATTTTAAAGGAAAAAATATTTCCTAATAAGCTAAAGGAAAGAAATAAGACCTTGAAAAGAAAATAGAACACAATATCATTTAATTTGTGATTAATGCAACATGCCAACATGTAACGGAAAACGAGCGATGAAACAAAAATAATTGTCACAATTTTTTTGTCAACAATAATATATAGAGATATGATTTACCTACCCATTTTGTTTCATTTAATTGCGAAAATTTCCATTACATTTTATTTTAATTAAGAACTAGCTAGTATACAAGGTTCTCGTTAAAAT